ATGGGATTGCTGGGTCAAATGGTATTTCTGGTTCTAGATCCTTCAGGCATTGTCACACTGTCTTCCACAATGTTTTAAGTAATTTGCATTCCCAACAGTGTAAAAGCATTCCTATTTCTCCACAGCCTCACCAGCATCTATTGTTTCTTGACTTTTTAATAATCACCATTCTGACTGGCATGAGATGGTATCACATTGTGGTTTTGATTTGCATTTCTCTAATGATCAGTGATGTTGAGCTTTTATTAATATTTTTTTTTTGCCACATAAATGTCTTCTTTTAAGAAGTGTCTGTTCATATCCTTTGCCCACTAGAAGTTTATTTTCTTCATTGAATTTTTTTTCAAAGAATGAATGTTTGGATTTATCAGTTTTCTTTGCTATTTGCATATTTTCTGTTGTACTGATTTCCTTTTTTATGTTTATTATTTCCTTTCTTCTATTTACTTGAAGTTTATTTTGCTGTTGTTTTCCAGTTTCATAAGGTAGAAGCTTAGGGCATTGATTTTTAAACTTTTTTTCTTCTAATGTAAGCATTAAAGTTGTTAATTTCTGTCTAAGTACTTCTTTAACTGTATCCACATATTTCTTTCTTTCTTTCTTTCTATCTATCTATCTATCTATCTATCTATCTATCTATCTATCTATCTATCTGTCTATATCTATCCAATCTATTTAGTTCAACGTATTTTCTAATTTCGCAAAATATTTTCTGACCTTATCCATATGTTATTTTAAAGTTCGTTGTTTAATTTTCAAATATTTGTGGATTTTGTAGATTTTTTTCTTCTTGTTTTTTAATGTAGTTCCGTTGTGGTCTGGTCAGAGAACATACTCTGTATAGGGTTTGAATATCTTTAAATTTATTGAAACGTATTTTATGGCCAATTATATGCCCTCTGTGTCCTCTAAGATAAATGTTCTATTTTCACTTACAAGGAGTGTGTGTTTCATAGTTGGCTGTCTGGAGTATTCCATAAATATCAATTGAGTTTGATTGTTTGATGGTGTTGCTCAAGACCTCCATATACTTTCTAACTTTTGTGCCCTTTTGTTCTGTCAACTACTGAGAGAGGAGTATTAAAAATCTCAGACTATACTTTTGTATTTGTGTGTTTTTTCTTTCAGTTCTGTCAGTTTTTTCTTTGTGTATTTTCAAACTTTATTATTAGGTGCACATACATTGACTATTGTAAATATTCTTGATCAATTGACCCTTTTTTATGATGAAATATTTCCCTTTAATCTGGAAATATTTCTTATCATGAAGTCTACTTTGTCTGATATCAAAGTAGCCACTCTAGCTTTATAATTAATATATGCCTGATATATCTTCTTCTGTTCTTTAACTTTTACCTATATGTATCTTTGTATTAAAAAACTAAGCCTTGTAGAAAACAAATAGTTGGATGTTGCTTTTCTACCAGGTATAATAGTATCTCTTAATAGATGATTTTGGTCCTATTATACTTTTCTACCAAGTATAATGGTATCTCTTAATAGATGATTTTGGTCCATTTTTACCTAATACAATTCTTAATGTGGCTGTGTTAAATCAGTTAACTATTGACTTATTGGTTTCAGTTTTTCTTTGGTTTTGTTTTCCTTTCTCTCTCCCTTCTTTTGAATTAAAAAATTTATTATTTCATTTTATTTTCACTATTGTCTTATTAGCTATAACTTTTTTAATAGTTTGTTCTAGGGTTGATATAATACATCTTTTATTAATTTTTTTCTTCTATAATGTAGAATCTGCCTTTAAATCTGCCTAGTGGGCTTTTTGTTTTAGATATTGGGGTGTTTTTTAGCTTTAGATGGCTGATTTGTTTCTTTTTCTGTTTTTTGTTTTTGTTTTTGTTTTTGTTTTTGTTCTTTGAGATGGAGTTTCACTCTTGTTGCCCAGGTCGGAGTGCAATGGTGTGATCTTGGCTCACTGCAACCTCTGCCTCCCAGGTTCAAGCGATTCTTCTGCCTCAGTCTCCCAAGTAGCTGGGATTATAGGTGCCCGCCACCACGCCTGGCTATTTTTTTCTATTTTTAGTAGAGACGGGGTTTTACTATATTGGCCAGGCTGGTCTTGAACGCCTGACCTCTCAGGTGATCCACCTGCCTTGGCCTCCCAAAGTTCTGGGATTACAGGCATGAGCCACTGTGCCTGGCCTGTTTCTTTTAATGATTTCCATTTACTTACTTATTATGCTCGTGTTTTCCCTTAATTGCTTGAACAAATCTATAATCGTTGTTTTAACGCCCTTGTTTGCTAATTCCATCTTTGTCATTTCTAGATCTGCTTCTATTGTCTGATTTTCCCTTTCATTATGGGTTACATTTCTTGTTTATGGCATGTCTAATAATTTTGACTGGATTCTGGCTATTGCGAATATTCCATTGTTAGCCTAAACTTTCTTGTGTTTCTTTACAAATTATTGATTTTTGCTCTTGCAATAGATTAAATTAATTTCAGATCAGCTTTATCCCTTTGAGGCTTTTTAAGAGAGTCTAGAGTATCTTTTGCTCTAGGACTGGTTTAGCCCTACTAGTAAGACATACTCTTTCCAGGATTTCACCTGAATGCAGCAAGTACTCAATGAGGTCTTCTCATTCTGGCTGAGCTGAACTCAAATATCTCCCAGTCCTGTGCAAGCTCTGGTAGTTGCTCAGTTTATAGTTCCCCGTAATTTATCTTTCCTTAATCATTATTATTTCCCAGGGTTTATGGAGTTTCACCTTCAACATGTGCATCTTATTATTTAGCCAAAGATTCAAGAGGATCCTCTGCAGATTTCTGGAACTTATTCTGTGTTGCTCTTTCATTCTGCTACCGTGTCTCACAAGTTCCATCCAGATGCCTCAGGCTTCCTGAACTCCAGTCTCTGACTTTTTGAGTCAATGAGACTGCCATACTCTGAATTCCCCTTTCCTGCAACTGGTCCAGAAAATGCATTGAAATAAAAGGCTAGGGCTATGGTAGGGCTCACCTCACTTGTTTGTCTTCTCTCTGAGATCTCATGCCTGAAATGCCTGTTGTTCAATAACCGAAAATAACTATTTCAGATATTAATATTTTTGTTTAATTTTCTAGTTGCTGACACTTGGTGGACTAGATGTGCACTAGTTACTTCGTTCTGACCATAAACAGTCTTATTAAAATTTAATTTTATGCTGTTTTTCATGAACACTCCTTTCCAGTCAATTTTCAGCTGATTCCTGTATACAATTTGATGTTCTTCAGTGTATTTAGACCTTTCAGGCCTTCCTCAAATGCATTTTCCCCTTCTTTCTATGCCTCACTCCATACAAAAGCTCTTTCAAACTCACCTTTTCCAGAAAACCTCCTATGATTAATCCATTCACCCTCCTTATTCATCTGCCCTTTGTTGTAATTTGTACTTCGTTTCTACTACATTAAATTGCACTTCTGGCCATGTAGTTTTGTTAAGTTTTTGGCAGTTATTTTATGTGTGACTGTTTTGCTGATGATTATAAGCAGAAGCTGATAAATAGAAAAAGCCTGTCTTTCATTTATTCCCTTTGTTGCAAACCCACCTAATTCAACTGGCTGTTCCCAAGGTAAATATTGGTGACCCTCTATAGTTTGGTGGAGAGGCATTGTATTACGAAACAAACGAAGCTAAATATCAGAGCTCTCATGTGATGGACCACTTTCAAGGCCCTGGGAGGGTCCCCAGCCATCTGTTTACATGGTAGATGGTTTTATAAATTTTGCCAAGGACAGATTTGAACCACAATGGAATAAGGCACTCTCTCTTTCCATTATGAATTTCTTTCAGCCAGTCTCCCCTTTCAGGTGGTGGGGAGTGACCGTAAGCATTTTGGGGATCTAGTTAAGGAAAGTTGAGTTGGTGATACATTTAGCTGCGGTTTAGTGGGAGGTATTTATGTGGTTTGCAGACATTTCCATGTATAGTTAACTTATTCCTAGCTGTCCTGTGCAGGAATATTCTTACCACCCACGGGGCAAACTTAACGAGTGATATAACAGGAAGATACGGAACCAGAGCACCTGTGAGCATGAACCTATGCTATGGCACCCAGCACTGGATCCTTACAGGGAGAGGGGAAGAAACAAGGTTTTAATTGCGCGAAGCCAGAAACTAATCTCTGGAAGTGTCTTTCCATCAAGACATAAACAATTCCTAGTGGAGGATTCTGTTCTCATCCATTTCTAGTAAAGGACATTCTGTCAGGAGTGTGCTTTATATGCAGTGTATACAATTATAAACACTCCGTGGTGTTTTCTTTTGTGAAGATATTATGCAAAACTAAATTCATCAGAATTTTTCTGTTTATAGTGCACAACCTTGTGGAAGAACTACAAAGAGTGAACTTGTCTATTGAAGTTGCATGTTTTATGAATCTTAAAAATTAACAGGGAAAAAATTTTGATCAACCAAGTTAGAGGAAGCACTGAATTATTTTATTCTCTCTATAGAAAGTATTACCACATGGTGGTGACATGAAGAGGCCATCAAGGAGGACGCAGCAAAAAAGTAAGAAAATGTATTACACAGCCATATCAACCATTAATTAATAGAAATATTATGTTATTTGGGGGATTTTTGTGGTATTTGTAAACTTTTCAATATTTGAAGTCATTGGCCGGGCACAGTGGCTCACGCCTGTAATCCCAGCACGTTGGGAGGGCACTGCAGGTGAATCACCTGAGAGGTCAGGAGTTCAAGATCAGCCGCCAACATGGTGAAACCCCGTCTCTAAAAATACAAAAATTATTCCAGGCCGTGGTGGTGCAGCCTGTAATTCCAGGCTACTCGGGAGGCTAAGGCAGGCGAATCGCTTGAACCCTGGAGGCAGTTGCAGTGAGCTGAGATCGCGCCACTGCAGTCCAGCCTGGGAGACAAAGTGAGACTCCATCTCAAAAAAAAAAAAAAAAAAAATTGAAGTCATTTTTTTCTCATTCTGTATTCATTTTCATCGCTAATTTTGTATTTATAATTTTTAATACATCTTTTTCAGAGAAGACCCTGAAGGTATGTAAGTCTCAGGCCCCACAAAAGTTGGATCCAACCTTGATGAGGTGAAGATATTGGCTCTTCCCCCTTCTTAACCTTGTTATCGGGTGATATGGTTTGGCTGTGTCCCCACCCAAACCTCATCTTGAATTGCAGCTCCCATAATTATATTGTGGGAGGGACCTGGTGGGAGATAATTGAATCATGGGGCAGTTCCCCCATACTGTTCTCGTGGTAGTAAATGCGTCTCACAAGATCTGATGATTTTATAAGGGGTTTCCCCTTTCACTTGGCTCTCATTTTCTGTGTTGTCTGCTACTTTGGTAAATATTAACTAACCATCCCTGGAGTACGCATTCCCAATTACAGCAAGTGATCATCCCTTGGGTGCAGATTACATCTAAATAACATACGCAAGCAAATCACACTGCCAATGCTGAAGCGTTTCAAAGTAAATTCAGACATAAACATAAACAAAGTAAACAGAGAATATAACGTACGTATCTCTTCTGTTACAGTTGCTTTTTCATTGAGTTCTGTGGAGCTCAGGTTCCTGTGGAGGGTAGCAGAAGGGAAACTTCAATTACAGCATATATGGTCTGATCTGTTCTACATATTAAAGTTCATACTATTTTCTTTGTGATAAATGAAGGGTGTTCTGCTGCATCTGAAACTAGTGCTCTAGCACTAACCACCTGTCTCTATAACACGTATCCACTCAAAGTTACAATGAAAGCCCAAAGATGTGCTTGAGTTAGCTTATGTCAATGAAAATGTTGCTAGAGACTTGGTGTAGATCTGCTGAGCTGCGTGTGAAAACTACAGTGTAATCTGATACTCCTCTCCCTCTCTCTTTTCACCACCGTTGTTGTCAATATATATTCCTTCCACATTTTACCCAAGAAAACTTATTATACTGGGGTCACATTCTCCATAATCAATTTGCCAAACAAAAAGACTTCTGGAATAAAAGACTTCTCCTAACTTGGGGAAGAGCGCTTAGGGGGGAAGAGATGAGAGATGGTCAGAGCCAGGATGTATTTAATCTTGGTCTGCAGTGGACATTTATTATCTGCCAAGACCCCTTCTTTCTGGCATGGACATCCTTTCACTTAGGAACATCCCCTCAGTGATGAGGCTCTATAAGGGCTTCTCTCGTTTTCCCTTGGACTGTGAGATGACCTAATTCTCCAAGATATTAACCAGGTGCTTTCTTTTCTTTTTTTTCTTTCTTTTTTTTTTTTTTCTGTCGCCCAGGCTGGAGTGCAGTGGCGCGATCTCGGCTCACTGCAATCTTCGCCTCCTGGGTTCACACCATTCTCCTGCCTCAGCCTCCCGAGTAGCTGGGACTACAGGCGCCCGCCACCTCGCCTAGCTAGTTTTTTGTATTTTGTAGTAGAGACGGGGTTTCACTGTGTTAGCCAGGATGGTCTCGATCTCCTGACCTCGTGATCCGCCCGTCTCGGCCTCCTAAAGTGCTGGGATTACAGGCGTGAGCCACCGCGCCTGGCTAACCAGGTGCTTTCTTTCTTTCTTTCTTTTCTTTTCTTTTTTTTTTTCTTCAGATGGAGTTTTGCTCTTGTTGCCCAGGCTGGAGTGCAATGGTGCAACCTCAGCTCACTGCAACCTCTGCCTCCTGGGTTCAAGCGATTCTCCTGCCTCAGCCTCCCGAGTAGCTGGGATCACAGGCATGCGCCACCATGCCTGGCTAATTTTGTATTTTTAGTAGAGACGGGGTTTCTCCATGTTGGTCAAGCTGGTCTCGAACTCCCCACCTCGGGTGACCCGCCCACCTCTGCCTCCCAAAGTGCTGGGATTACGGGAGTGAGCCACTGCGCTTGGCCTAACCAGGTGTTTTCAAAGGTGTTTTGAACCAAGAAGCAAACCCTGCCCTGTTGGACACAAAGCTGGGAACATGTGAGATGGGAACTGCTGGCATCCCTGCCTCCAGCACTGAGAGGAAAGCCAACCGGAGAGCATAGAGCTGCCTGCAGCAAGCAGGAAAAAAGGGTGAGAAGAGAGTGTCCTGAGAGCCTCCAGCTTCTGGTTCTGGTGGCCACTGATGTCCAACCCTGTTTCTGCCCTTCTTGTTTTGGTTACAGGAGCCCACAAATCCTCTCTATCATTGGTGCTTATTAGAATTGAATTTCTGTCACTTTTTTAAAACCAAGAATGTACAAAACAATGCACTGGCTACGGCAGCAAAATTATAGAGCCTGATATAAGAAAAGAAATAGAAGCCACAAGAAGAATGGAGGAAATCTCCAGTAATTCACAGGAAATAAAATAACCAGGGAGAATAAAACTTTGCAGTCTTGGGTGTCTGCACCCCAGGCGACAGAGGTGGTACTGAAACAAGTGACCTTGAAATCACAGCTCAGGAAAGCCCATGTGACTGTGCTGGTTCTCTGAGCCCAGGGAGGTGGGATGGCAGCAATGGAACAGCATTCCTTTCTCAAAAGACAGACCTGGGAGGTAGTGGAGTGGAGGAGACCATGTGTTAAGATGAGAGCTCCTGCATGAAAATCCACAAACCATGAGTAGAGAGAGTAATGGAGAAGGTAAGGAGAGAGAGGGAAGGGGGACTGTGGCCTGCACACGAGGTTGTGCAGCCAGATGTAAGGCCTGGAAGCCACGCTCCTGAGAATCACAGTGCACATGCTGGGTTGGGGCAGAGAGCCACATGCAGCTCACTGGCAGGCAGAATCAGGGGCTGGAGGCATAGAAAGCCAAGAGCCAGGCAGCAGCAACTGGCTGACCCTGGTAGGCAGTTCCAGGTGTGGGCACGTCTGGGCGCAGGGACTGGAAGCAAAATTGATTGACTCAGGAGTAGACAAATATGGGTTGAAGGTCAATCAAAAAGCAGAAACCAGGTGACACAAGTGAGTCAAATCGAGAAAGAGAGTTGTAAAAGTGGGCAGACACAGGTAGAGGGAGGACCTAGGAACAGAGGCTAGAAACCAGAAGGGGTCTGCTGGGGTGGATGGACGAGGGGCAGGAGCCAACAGACACAAAGATGCGCATAGAATTTCACCAGATGGCTGTCTGCTGCTGAGCTGTGGAGCTGTGGCTTTTCTTCCTGCTTGTCCACAAGCGGGTGACTCTGTCCTCGGGGTTCAAAGGCATGAGCAGGCCTTCTGATGACACATTTGACAACGCTGGCACAGAGGCAAGATTGAGTGGGGATAGCTGGGAATTTCCTTCTCCTAGACCCTGGGTGTCTGATAAATTCTCCTCATGTTGACAATTTCGTCTTTCATAGTTTAAAGAAAGAAATGAGAGGGACTGCTACCCTGCACCTAAGCACAGGGGTCATGCTCTGCAGAAGTGGAAGTGACAGGGACCCTGAGAGGAGCCATCTTTTGCAAAGTTGGTGGCATCCGGGGCTCAGGCAGAACCTATTCTGAAAGCAGGGTTCAGACGTGTTCGGAAAAGAGACTCTCAATGAGAAGACAGCTCAAGAGGAAAGGGAGGCTAATTGGGGCTAACTGTATTTTGTTAACAGATGATAGCAAGAAGGCAGAACTCGGGCTGTGTGTGGTGGCTCACTGCTGTAATCCCAGCATTTTGGGAGGCCGAGGCGGGGGGATCACCTTAGGTCAGGAGTTCAAGACCAGCCTGGCCAACACAGCAAAATCCTTTCTCTACTGAAAATACAAAAAAATTAGCTGGGTGTGGTGATGTACGCCTATAGTCCCAGCTACTCAGGAGGCTGAGGCAGGAGAATTGCTTGAACCTGGGAGACGGAGGTTGCAGTGAGCCGAGATCACACCACTGCACTCCAGCCTGGGCAACAGAGCGAGAGACTGTCTCAAAACAAAACAGGCAGAACTCCTCAAATTGTACTTTACTTCCCAGTTCTCAGTCAAGAAGACCCATCTTCAGACTGGAAAGGGCAGAATTAGTGCTGGTTAGAGGGAACCAAAGCCATATATAATTGCTCTGAGCAGACTTCACATACCCATTAAATACCCCCGCAGAATTTCGCCCTTGCAAAGGGTTCCTCAGATATTTCTGAGATTCCCCCTGGGTGACGGGCTGCGAATGCTTGTTCACCACCCCAAATCATCCCCTGATGCTAATGACACTCAGGAGACGGACCCTCTGCAGGGCATAGCTAGCCAGCTCTGCTGCTGCCACCACCTGGGATGAGGGATGCTGGGTTTCCCTTTGCCTTCCATCCTAAACACAGAACACAGCATTCCCTTAGTCCCCAGAGCACAATCCTCTAATATACCAGCTGCACAAACGGAGGAATGTTTGCACCCCACCCATACCCCCATCTATGTAACCCCAAGGTCTAGAACAGTTTTTGGTAGACAGTAGGAGCTCAGTAAATCTCTGACTTTTAACAAGCGTTTAATAAACATTCAAAAGTGAAAGAAAGGGTTGAGCAAGGTGGCTCATGCCTGTAATCTCAACACTTTGGGAGAACAAGGGGAGAGGATTGCTCGAGCCTGGGAGTTCGAGACCAGCCTAGGCAACATAGCGAGATGCTATCTCTATTTTACTTTTTAAAAAGTGAAAGAAAGAACAAGGCAGAGAATAACTAACAACAATTAAAAGATGTTGTAAATTTCAGGATCCTCAGACTCAGATTTAGAAATGCCCAGTGATGAAAATGTACCTACCTTAAGCAGTCTGATGGCTTGGCGTGCAGAATATGTCTCTGTGGGCAGAAAAAGCTTCTCTGGGCTGAAAAAAATAGAAAAATGGGTCCCCTCTCCCCACCCACAAGGCAGGCAGATACCTTAGAAGACAGCGATCCCAGTTGGTGGGCAGGTCCTTGTCAGGTAAGGGTTTGGTTAGTAGTTGGTACCTTTGTGTCGAGAAAAAGACATGCCTTTCTCCCAGCAAGGGCAGCCCCCAGCAGGGTGCACAGCTTGGCCGCGCTCTGTTGGACAAAGCTGCACTGTCTTCCTACAGGGCTTCTATCCTGTCCTGTGGCGTGAGCCAGCACAACTGCACGCAGTCTAAGTGCCCTCAAATCAGGTCTACTCTGCCTGGAATCCCAGCCCCACCCCTCCCAAGACCCGGAAAGGGGAAGGGATTCTCAAGCTGCCTCCCTGCACTTATTTCCTACCGAACACCTGCTCCTCCCTGGTGACCAATGATGGGACATCTATTCCCCCAGGAAACCCGGCCCTCACTCCAGGCCTATGATCTCATCCTGTGGCACCCAGTACAACAGTCCCATCAGAACACAATAGTCTCAAGGGCTTTGGGGTCATTATACTTCAATAATGCCACTTGAAGGGCAGAAACTGTCCATTGAACACACTTAGTTCTCTTTCATAGGCTGTCTTCTAGGGAGAGGTGAATATTCTGCCTGAATGTCCTTCTGTAGTCCTCTGGGCTGGCCGCTCTTGCAAACAATTGCTCTGGCAAAAAACATTCTCCACTCTGCAAGGATAAGCAAACACTGTAATTCACTACATTCCTACTGAGTTAAGAAATATTTCACTCCTTCCTGGAAAGCAAGAAAATTATAGAGACTTAGCTCAGGCTTGACCATATTCAAAAACATACACGACCAACACAAAACGTTTATCATCCAAACCTAAAATCATCATCAGAATAATGATGACTTTATAATTGTTCCA